CTATCTGAATATTTAGATATCCTCTTACAACCCTCTGTCAAATGTATGAAATCATACTTTGAAAGATTCCATGACCTGACTCCGTTTTTTAAATAATTTTATTTGGAAAGACACTTATTTTTTAGTTACTTGTGACGTACAATCGTTGTATACTATTATCCCTCATGATAAAGTCTGCTCCGCTGTGTAAAAAATTCTAAGGGCAGAAAACAGAATCCCAGACCAACAGATTAGTTTTATAATAGAAGGTATTAACATTATTTAAAAAAATAACTACTTCTGGTTTTTAGATTCTTTTTATTTACAGAAACAAGGTATTACTATGGGGACCAGGTTTGCGCCCAGTTATGCCAACCTCTTTATGGCAGAGTGGGAAACTACAGCCATTTTTGGGGAGCATGACTGGAAGACAAGCCTGGTCACATATTTTAGATATAACGACAATATGTTTTTATCTGGGAAGGTACAGAAAGTTCTCTTAATCAGTTTTTATTTTTTTAAATCAAAACAACAATGGTATAGTTTTAACTCATGAATACAGCCAATCCGCTATACTTGTCTTAGATCTAGAAATTTTTATCCAAGACAATGAGGTTCATGCCAAAACTTTTTTTAAAAAACGTCTGCACAAATAATGTAATTGATATATCCAGCTATCACTATAAACCGTGGCTACATGGAATACCCAAAAGTCAGTTCCTCCGTCTGCGAAGGAACTGTTCTCTTACCCAATACTTTGAAGACCAATCCCATACGCTATTGTGTAAATTTTCACAAAAAACTATCCTAATAATAACTTAAATCAAGCCATTAAAAATGTTAGAGAAAAAGATAGATTGGATCTCTTAGAATATCAAGATAATAAAACCTCTAAGAATGCTCCATCATTGCCAATTATTTTTGACTTCAATAACAAAAATAATGTTATGAAGAAGATTATTAAGAAACATTGGCATATATTAAAACAGGATGAGATTCTAGCTGGGACTGTCCCCGAAAAACCACACGTTATATACAGAGGGGCACCTAGCTTCAAATCCATCCTTACAAAGAACTATACCAAACAGAATCAAACTACCTCTTCCTTTTGTGTGTGTGGCCGTCTGACTGTGTGTGTGTGTGTGTGGCTGTCTGCCTGTGTGTATGTGTGTGGCTGCCTGTGTGTGTGTGTGTGTGTGTGGCTGTCTGCATGTAAGTATGTGTGTGTAAGACTGTATGTTTGGCTGTGTGTGTGTGTGTGTGTAAAACTGTGTGTGTGGCTACCTGTGTGTGTGTGTGTGGCTGTCTGCCTGTAATTGTGTGTGAGTGTGTTTATCTACCTGTAACTGTGTATGTGTGTTACTGCCTGTACCTGTGTGTTTCTGCCTGATCCTGTGTATGTGACTATCTGCCTGCGACTGTGTGCATGTGGTGGATTTGACAGTGTATATGTATAACTGTGTGCATCTGACTGTGTGCACATTACTCTGCAAAAATATACACCTGCATTCACACACAGGCTTAAATGCATGTTTTTTATCTGAATTAAATAACCATCAAACACAGCCAATAAACCCAGCACAAATATCACATACAACCAATACACGCATATCACACACTATTAATACACCCATTACAACTATCACACACAGCCAACACATAGCATACATATCACACACAGTCATCACACCTACTATCACATACACAGACAACACAAGCATTACATCATACATGGATGACGGGGGCAGGGGGAGGCGCTGTGAAGATTTTTCACACAGGACACCTAAAGGCCTAAGGCCGACCCTGTACCTGATGCCGATAATGCTAATTTGCCGGTCATGCCTCATTGTGAATTCTTCTGATTTCAAAATGTCCATCAAATAAACACGTCCAAGGTGGCAGACTGTGCAAAGAGGCCTCTGAGACAGTCCAGCACCTAGTAGCCGGATGCAAGATGTTAGCAGGAACAGTATACACAGAGAGACAGAACCAAGTTGCTGGGATTGTGTACCGAAACATCTGCACAGAATACGAATTGGACCTGCCTAAGTCCAGATGGGAGATACCACAAAGGGTAGTCAAGAATGACAGGGCTAAGATCCTGTGGAACTTCAAGATCCAGACAGACAAGCAAGTGCTGGCCAACCAACCCGACATCGTGGTGGTAGAGAAGGAACGGAAGACGGCGGTCATGGTGGATGTGGCAATACAAAGTGACTATAACATCAGGAAGAATGTAAATGAGAAGGTGGAGAAATACCACTACTACCAGTAGTAGTCCCAGTTGTGATAGGAGCACTCGGGTCTGTGACTCCCAAGTTGGGGGAGTAGCTTCAACAGATTCCAGATGGGACATCTGAGATTGCTGTACAGAAGAGTGCAGTTCTAGGAACAGCTAAGATACTGCGCAGAACCCTCAAACTCCCTGGTCTCTGGTAGAGGACCCAAGAATGAGGAATAAACATACCACCCAGGAGGGGGGAGAAAATCAATTGTATTTTTTTATATATATATATATATATACATACATACACATACACATATACATATATATATATAGTTTGCAATGAACAAATCAAAGACAAGCAATTGAAATAGCTCAACACAGTGAATGTTTCAAATGGTTTCCCCAAATTCAATGGAAAATGTATTACTTTCTCCTTCTTTTTGTCTCAAATTTTAATGTTGTTGAACTGATATAAATACTAATTTATCAGGATATGTTTTTTCTATAAACTTTAAAAAAATCATGGTTTGTTCTCGAATACACTATTTTCTGTACAGTTACAATATATTCTTTTAAATTATCCTTTAGAAATGTTATTGAGTCAGGGTGTATAGTGACCATTACTGTATAACACATAGTTATTGGCATCTACATGTTTAAAGTGGTTTATTGTTTAAATTATTTTCTTAATAATAGAGATTTCATGATCAAGAATATATAATATGTTCTCTGCTATACATGCTTGTTAATTGAATACCCCAATCATTTTTGTCTAACTTATCTATAAAAGCATCTACTTTGTCAACAGGGCCTTTTAAAATGAAGTATATATTGTCTATAAACCTACAGTAGGTGACCAGGTTTACTTCCCACTCATTGCTGTCATATATACTCATTTTCACAGGTTGCCAAGTATAAGTTAGCGTAACTGGGTGTGAATCTGGCCCCATAGCATTGCCCTGTAACTGTAGCAACTAAAATAATTGTTGCTAAGAATCCATTAAATTCCATTCACAAGAACATAAATGTGTGTCTTATTATATTCTATGTCATTCAATCGGAAGGAAGCCTACGGTGTTTGATTTTAAATCACATATTTTCTCATTCCGATCATAACGGATTGCATCCAGTAGGATGCACAATCACAAATTATTTGATTATTGAGATGCCAGTCAGCATTAATCAATTTTAACCAGATTGTATCCATTGTTTGTGAATAACCCTGCCAAATACTGAGGTCCAGGACTTCTATTATTATTAAATGATTATGCAAATTCTATTTAAGTGTCACAAAGATGAAATATTTTGTTTTTTAGTTTAACTCATGTATGGCATTGTGTCTCAGGGCTCTTTTGATCAGTGAAAATAATCTCAGACACCTGTGATAATTAGATTGCCAGGTGAGCCTAATTTAAGGAAAAACTACTAAAGGAGGGTGTTCCACATTATTAAGCAGAGCACCATTTTCATGCAATATGGGGAAGAAAAAGGACCTCTCTTCTGCCGAGAGTGAAATAGTTCAATGCCTTGGACGAAGTATGAAAACATTAGATATTTCACAAAAACTTAAGCGTGATCATCAAACTATTAAGAGATTTGTGGCTAATTCAGAGGACAGACGGGTTCATGCAGATAAAAGCACATTGAGGAAGATTTCTGCCAGATCCATGCATCAGATCAAGAGAGCAGCTGCTAAAATACCATTACATAGCAGCAAACAGATATACAGATATTTGAAGCTGCTGGTGCCTCTGGAGTCCCACGGACATCAAGGTGTAGAGTCTTCCAGTGTTTTGCAACTGTGCATAAACCTTCTATTCGGCCACCACTAACTAATGCTCACAAGCAGAAATGGCTGCAATGGGCAGAAAAATACATGAAGACTAATTTTCAAACTGTCCTTTTCACTGATGAGTGCTGTGCAACCCTGGATGGTCCAGATGGATGAAGTAGTGGATGGTTGGTGGACGGCCACCCTGTTCCAACAAGGCTGCGACGTCAGCAAGGCGGTGGTGGAGTCATGTTTTGGGCCGGAATCATGGGAAGAGAGCTGGTCAGCACCTTTAGGGTCCCCGAAGATGTAAAGATGACCTCTGCAAAGTATGTGGAGTTTCTGACTGACCACTTTCTTCCCTGGTACAGAAGGAAGAACTATGCTTTCCGTAATAAAATCATCTTCATGCATGACAATGGACCATCTCATGCTGCAAAGAATACCTCTGCATCAATGGCTGCTATGGGGATGAAAGGAGAGAAAGTCATGGTGTGGCCCCCATCCTCCCCTGACCTCAATCCTATTGAGAACCTTTGGAGCATCCTCAAGCAAAAGATCTATGAGGGTGGGAGGCAGTTTACATCCAAACAGCAGCTCTGGGAGGCTATTCTGACATCTTGCAAACAAATTCAAGCAGAAACTGTCCAAAAACCCACAAGTTCAATGGATGCAAGACTTGTAAAACTACTATCAAATAAGTTGTTCTATGTTAAAATGTAATGCGACCTGTTAAAATGTTTAAAAAGTTAAAATGTTGTTATAAGTTTAATTGAAATAGCTTTTGATTTCAGTAAATATGCTGCAAACGCAACAAATGACAATTTTCAGTTCTTTACAACCTTTAAAGTGTTTTGAAACTTACTGTGCGTAATAATTTGGAACAGTGCATTGTAAGTTTTTTATGTTTAAAAAAAATACTGTTATCATTAGGAGGTTTGTTCAATAACATTTAAATTGTACTCTTATTAGTTGATAAAATGAGAAATATGCTGACTGTTATTTAGATCAATTATTTAGGTAAATGAGAAAAATATAATTTGCATAATAATTTGGAACAGGGTGTAATATATTTGTAGATGCTGTCAAAGAGATTTTCAACATTGCACCAAAGCTATCCCCATGCTGAAAAGCCACACAAAAAAAAAGATTTGACTTGTACATAGTCAACAGTATGGTATTTTCAAAGAAAAGAAAATTAAAGATTGTGAAACCTTGGGGACCTTTGTAATGTTCCTAATTGGAAAAACAGCCTACAGAAATGTGACATGGAAATCTAAAAATCTTACGCTCTGTATGTGAAGCAGGGTATTTGAGGAAATATATTGAAACAATATTTCAGAACTGCTACATGTTTCAACAATTCAAATTGTGGTTAGGCTATATTGTGTTTGGGTTATAATGTTATAGAGTCTAATCACTAAATTAAATATTTGCTTTTACAAATTTGTCTGATTCTAGGTGGCTCAATTCTCTGAACATTTGTTTGGCAAATTTTTTCTAATATGCATTGTACTCATTAAAGGGACACTCCAGACCTCCAAAGCACTTTAGATTTATAAAATACTGTGAAGAGTGTGTCCTCTTTTTTTAATTTCAATAGAAACTGGCACTTTTGGGGCTGGTTTAGAAGAGGAGGGATTGCAAAGGCAGCAAACAGGAAAACTGCAGCTTTTGCAATCAGTTTTTTATATATACCCAATTAAATGCATGCATATTTTGATTCGGGGTATATCTACTAGACTGTTTTTTTGGGTGGAGGGGGGTTTTGTATTTGGGTAGTGAAGTATCCCTTTAAAAACCAAATGGTTACCAAACTAAACTGTATAGATTTCTGCTATTTTACAACTGATCTAATTGCAGCAGTAAGATCGATTTGAAATAGCTCAAACTAATTTTTTATAGAATTGCAGCAATGGTTTGAGAGGATTTAGGGTTAGGCTACATATACAGGGTTGTTCACTAAAGTGAGAAGTCAGGGTGAATTCAAAGTAAATTTCAAATTTAAGGTCAAAATAGCCGAACTGGAAACATTCTCGAAGTCATCTATCTTTTAGCACGGCTACTCAGGCCTTAAATTTGAAATTCATTTTAAATTCGAACTTTAGTAAATAGCCCTAATAGTCTGGATCAGCTTTATTGTGGCTTAGAGTTGAGGATTAGAATTGTGGCCATATAAAGTTGATAAACTCAACACACCACACATAACTACATTTAAGTCATATTTTTTATTTATTATTATTATTATTATTATTATTGTGTTCATAGCATATTTAACTTACCCATTAAAATTTGCCCTATCTTTGCTTGGGTTTTTTTCGGTGTCAAACACTTGAACTAAATAAAATAATCTCACATCAAATTATTAAATGCATTGAGATCTGACAATTTACATAATACTAACTAAAAATGTTATACATATTGTGTTTCTACACTCCAGATGTAAGATTAAATAGAATTATAATTGTGTGCTGATTTTGATAATTAAAACGTATATATAGGTGGCTTAGCACGGCTTCCTGTAAATTACTGATTCAGGGCCTCATATTATTTGTATACCTATCTGTGAAATTGCATATTTTAAAAGAATCCTTTAATATTGCTCAAATCTGACTAGGTCCACAGTATTCTTCTGCATTTGTCCTCTGGCCGCTCCAGAAAAATTAATGTCTTGTCTGACCCCAGCTGGCTAAGCTTGAAAGCCTGAAGCTCCAGTTTATTTATTTTTTTATTTCCCAGATTTAGCTCAAATGCATCACACCAACAAATGCTACGGATATAAAATATATAAATTAAACACATTTAAGGCTAATCACTAAAGAGAGAAATCCAAGTGAATTCAATTTTAATTTCAAAGTTAAGGTCCCAGTAGCCAGAAACAGCACTGGCGTAGAGAATATTTTTTCAGTTTGACTATTTTGGCCTTCAATTTTAAATTCACTTCGAATTAACTTAGAATTTTCACATTAAAGAGACACTATAGGGTAAGGAAAACAAACATGTATTCCTGACCCTGTAGTGTTAAAACAACCGTCTTTCCCCTTGACTCACCCTGACTAAATATAGTAAAATCTTATTTTTATTCAAGTCTGCAGCTGCTGCCTCTGTGCCTATGCCCCTGAAATGCCTGCTGTCTGCTGATATTATCATAAGTGTTTGTCTGAGCCAATCACAATACTTTTACATAGGATTAGCTGAGACTGTCTAGGAAGCAGATCAGGGCAGAGCCAGCACAAGTCAAACACAGCCCTGGCCAATCAGCATCTAAATACAGATTTATTGAATTAATGCATCTGTATGAGTAAAGTTCAATGCCCCCATGCAGCACTGCCCCAGGAAGCACCTCCAGTGGCCATCTGATGAGTGGCCAGTGGAGTTATCCGTAGGCTGTAATGTAAACACTGCATTCGCTCTGAAAAGACAGTATTTACAGCAAAAAGCCTGAAGGGAATTATTATACTTACCAGAACAAATACAATAAGCTGTAGTTGTTCTGATGACTATAGTGTCCCTTCAGTAAACAATACAGTGAAAAAGTAGGTGCTAAGTGGTATAGGAGCATGTGTTTAGAAATCCTGGATAGAGAATGTACTGATTTCATTTTATAAGTCCACTTGTTCAAAAGTGAGGCTGCGATGAATCAATAAATCTAAGTGGTCATTATGGGAAACCTCAATCTGCACTTATGCACTAATAACAATTGTGCTGCAAAATGATACTTCTCATATACTTTAATAATTAACACCTTATTCTATACAATAATAGCATTTGGATATTCTACCTAGTGGTAGTTGCTATTTTCAATTCGTAAAATAATCTGAAATGAATCGTCGTTTTGGGTTCAAAACGTCATTCACTTGGAAGAATATAGCAGAACGGGGTATTTTGTATTTTCAATCTTTCCAGTTTTTAGCAGCAGCTAAGACATAATTATACATTGAATTATTTATAAACAACATCCAAAGATTACATTTAAGATTTACAATCTATGAATACAATGTATGCACACACAAGAAATTCCCCACAAAGGCTTTTGTGGACATAATTAAATACGCTTTTTCCGCTATAGCCTCAGATTTTTAAAAACAGAGCTGGCAATAGGATACCATGATTTAAAAATCCATTCATGTACGCAGATTAATGCATGTAATAGCTACATTTACCACTTACAATTTAGAGCAGTCCTGCTAGATTAATTCTTGCTTAGTTCAATATTTAGTTTCATTGTTATTAGGATTGTAACTGCTATAATAAATCTAAGTGACTCGAGCAATCCAGATGTTTGATAAGGTTGTGTTTTCAATGACTTTCATTCAAAAAAGAAAAAAGCAAAGAAATAAAATTCAAGCAGTAAATTAGGCACAGGGTTTTAAAAAGCCTTTCCGCCCCCTAATACCTCATTGAAACAAACAGTCATTGAATATACTACTTTCCGTGCTACTGCTACATTTTTAATGATAATTGGAATTAATGTAAAATACAGTAATGAAAGCAGACACATTGCACAGAAATAAATCAATGGCAACAGGAAAGCACTAAATGAAAAACAAACAAACAAAAAATACATTTTGCCGTGGCAAAACCAGTAGTTACTAATATGGATACCAAGAGTCTAGAAAAAGACATAATGTATTAAATCGATTAATGTCAGTAGATTAGGCTGAATCAATATAATCCAAAAAGGCAATTCTTATTGATGGAAGTTAGGTAATTTTTCAAGGGATAAATAAGGGATTTGTATGTATTTGCAACAAATTAATTGCACCGACCAAGAGGGTGCACTGTAAATAAGTTCATTATATTATCAGTAAAAACACTGCATTCAATGGAAATGAGAGCTATATGGATCTATATTTTTTTATTTGTTATATTAGGCATTCCCTCTTTAAATAACTAGTGCACCACACAAAAAAAAAAAACATATTCACAATACAAAAAAATAAATTTATCAACATTTTTTACTTTCTCTCCAGATACCCCCTTTCACAAGCAAACGTCTGCAGCACATCGCATTATGGTGTGCACTGCCATCAAAACTAAACTAAAAAACACTAATGTAATAAATGATGAACAACTTTAATAAATGATGTACAAAGGAACAGGGAAATATATACAGAGAAATATATACAGAAAGATATATACATAGGTTGCAAGAGAATGTCTCATGCTTCAAATAAAAGGAGAAAAAGAGAAACCTTCATTAAGGCCTCTGGGGTTTAAAGTGGATTTATAAACTAAGCAGGGGATATATCTACTTACCTCTGTGTCTTCTATGTGTTTTATGTCTTATATTAGGGGATATATCACCACTGGATATCCCCTATAGTTTACACTGCCAAGCGAGACACATTGCCTCGAAGAGAGTCTGCACAGCAGGGACGGCTACATATTCTAACACCCGTTTGTGCTCCACTCTCCATCAGTGATCTACCTCGATATACTCTTTTGAGGCACCGTCAATAGCGACCACAGTTTAGCTCCACTACTATATCGGCATTGTAACTACTGCTAGACACCAACGATCCCAGTTTTATAAATATAATTTACGGATTTTACCATTTTTAGCGCGATTTGGTTTATTATTTGATTTTTGTGCGGAGCAGTCTGCACTTATGCTCCCTCTCTCTCTTATATTGGTCCACATATTGGATGTCCCTATAGCCTATCTTTGTCCTCTTTAGAGGCTTTACTACTATTTATCTTAGTGGACTTTACATGTATGTGCACATAATATATATATTTCTCTATGAGACTAAGGAGCATATTCCCAGGTTTTTAACTCTTTACCCTCACGCGATTTTCACTAACACAATTTCTTTGGTGTCTTTATTCAGGGTAGGTTTCATACCTATTTATTATTTTTTGCTTATTTCTAGTTCAATAAAGGTTATTACCATTTTCTTTGTTACGTTTACTTTAGGAGGTAATCTTTTGGAATGAGATCGAATCCCACTCACTTTTGAGTGAGTGGCTTTCTCTATCCCATTCTTTCAGTTTGTAGTTATTTGACTTGTTGTGGAGTTAAGCCCCTGTGTTACCTCCTGTAACCTATTTTGGGGTTCTGACGTTGGCTAGTCCAACATCACCACTCTCATCTCATATTTATTAATGAAGCAGATATACATGGGTGATATGTGAGAGTTATCAGGAATGAGAGCTGACATCTGAAGTCAATAATAAAAGACGAGCAGGATCCGATGGAGTAATCAGAAATGAGAGCTAAGGTCTAAAAGAAGGTGTGAACGAGATTAACCAGACAAGTCACTTTGGGCCCACAAAAACTGAAGCTGCAATAAATTGAGGTTACACACAAACAAGGCAATTCAAGGGACTCAATAACTGAGC